AAATCAGGACTCTACATTCTAATATAGCTACAAAGAAAATTGATGAAATTATATACAATAAGAATAGAAAGATAAAGTCTAAATCTACTACCACTAGGTTTGAGTGAAGAGCCTTGATCAGTGTTCTCCTTGCCTGAATCGACTGTAACAGTTTGAGTAAGGATTGCTCCACTCTTATTCCAACTGGGATTGAGTTGTCTACTACTTGTCAAAGCTAAAGAGTCCTCCCTTGTGCTAATCCATAGGAATCCTTCTTTGACTGAGATACTGTTTACCTACCAGGACCAAGCTCATATCAATATATTTAGGCTTTTTTTTGCTGAATTTTTTGAATTGACCAGGAGCAGGGTGCACCAATTTGGGCCCGTATGATGGTTGGGAACCTTGATTTAGGATCGTATGGGCTTCAACTATGTGTGATGCTGATGGGAAGTTAGTCCACTAGTTTGGGATATGATGATGGATTGTTGTTATTTCTTGGTGGAAAATAAAGTCTTTAATTAATCATAATGATCTTTGAAGAGATACATGCTGGTTCTTGGTTGTAAGGTTATTTTGTGACCATTAATTGGGATGCATTATCAATTGTAAAGGTGATTAACTATGAGACAGTCACAAGGATGTGACCTATTTCTCATATTGCATTGTTCATCTGGAAAAAAGGATTTGAAATTAAGTATGATTATGTAATTGTCGGTATAGTTTGTTGGATCATTAGTATCACAACTCCATGAGCCTTTTCATGTGGGTCACCATGTATTCAGATGGCTTATTTTGTGCTATGAGATGGTATATTTTGAAAAATAATGAATTCTGTGTTAGATATGAATTTGTTTGGCATTGACAAGGGTATTATATCTTGAGTTGGGAAGATTGGAACACCCTAATGGTTCAGTGATGTTGGTTCTTCTTGTGGTTACTATGACTGGTTGGGCTTACTACTAATAACTTAAGCAATTAGAACCATTTGGTTGAGACCTGTCCTTTCCAAATTAATGTGCGAGCAGGTCTATCAGGTCTTGTCAATAGTTGTTCTCTTTGTTATGTTTAATTCATCATCTCGTCTACTTTGTTTGGCAATTTTCAAGCTAAATCAGAAGTGTGGAATTATTTGATATTTTAGCTCTCTTTTTAAAACTGCATTAGATGTCTTCACATGGTGTATAAAAATGCAATCTTTTAAATAAATTGAAATGTTGCTCGACAATGAAAACTTGGTGTATTTCAGAAGTGAAGTTGTTTTAGCTCTGATCTCTCAAGAATCATCCGTAATGGCTAACTACAAATGTGCTTGACGACTCTACACCTTGATTGCTGCTATCTGCTTCATATTTTTATGTGGTGAGTTGCTTGTTTCAGACAACTGGCAAAGGTGGCACCTACCTTTATGACATTCACTTCTGGATCGGAAAAGAGTCAAGCCAAGTATGCTAATTATGCTCAATGATACTGTAAAACGATTTGTGTTTTTATTTTGAGGGCCAAGCAATAAGATACATGTTCAAACTTCAAATTACTTATTTTCCTTATAAATGATCACAGGATGAAGCTGGGACTGCAGCAATCAAGACTGTCGAACTTGATGCAGTTCTTGGAGGTCGTGCAGTTCAACACAGGGAACCCCAAGGCTTCGAGTCTGACAAGTTCTTGTCATACTTCAAACCATGCATTATTCCTTCGGAAGGAGGATTTGCCTCTGGATTCAAGAAGCCTGAGGAGGAAAAGTCTGAAACACGGCTATACACTTGTAGAGGAAAACGGGTTGTCAGAATGAAGCAGGTGCTATATTTTTTCCATGAACTATTGCGTGACTTTTGATGTTCAAATTTGCATTGCATGCATGTGGTAATTCCTAGAATTTCATTTGAAGGTTCCATTTGCCCGGTCATCACTAAATCATGATGATGTGTTTATCTTGGATACTGAAAAGAAGATATATCAGTTCAATGGTGCTAACACAAATATCCAAGAAAGAGCTAAAGCTCTAGAAGTTATACAATATTTGAAGGACAAGTACCATGAAGGGACTTGTGACATTGCGATCATTGGTGAGAATCTACTTCTTCTATAAGATATTCTGTACATGTATGCATATTGTATCTTCTTATTAACAGATTTTTTATTGTATAAGATGACGGGAAATTACAAGCTGACTCAGATTCTGGTGAATTCTGGGTCCTTTTTGGTGGCTTTGCACCAATTGGAAAAAAGGTGGTCAGTGAAGATGACACTGTTCTAGAAACCAGTCCTGCAAAGCTTTATGGGTACCTTTTTTTACTCTTACAACATTGCATGTATGGTTTTTCTACCAAAAGCTAGCATCGATTCTGTTATACAAGTTTGTCTCTAGTTTCCATATATATCTTAATATTGCTCGTTATGTGATCAATGGATCAAAATGCTGCTCATATTGGTTGGTACAAGATGGTATTTACTGGTCCAATGACCAATTGAAATGCAAACGGGGCAAACAATTTTGCTTGCTTTGGTTTGGTATGAATTGTCTTGTGTGGTAAGCTCACTGAATTGTACTGGGCAGTAAGCCTATTATCCGATGCCTATATCAACTTTTAATTATTTCTGACACTGGTTGCAACTATGGACTTTTGCTTGAAAAACATCCTTATAAAATGTAATAATGCTAATGTAATTTGTTTAATAAAGAATCTCATTCAACACTCTAGGACA